CCCTGCCCGGCTCCTGTGTTCAGGCTCGCTGTCTGCACCTGGGCTGGGCTGCCCTTTCTGGGACCAGCCCCACCGGGGCCTGTTCCTTTTGCCTTGTCCCAGACCTGTGACCCTCCGGGGTCTTTTTTTTTTTTTTTCTTTTGGTGTCATTAATGTACCATTACATGAGCAGCATTGTGGTTACTAGGCTCCCCCCTTCACCAAGTCCCCCCTCCACCCCATTACAGTCACTGTCCATCAGCGCAGTAAGATGCTATAGAATCACTCCTTGTCTTCTCGCCCTTTCTGTGCCCCCTCCGGGGTCTTTCTTTCCTGAATTATGCCTGTCCTGCTCTCTTAAAGGGGAGCCCATCAGGTTGTCCAAGGGAAGGTGAGGCTGGCTTGGACTGGGGGACTATGGTGGCAGGTGGTGGCATGGTGGGAAGCTGTGGCAAGGCAGGAAGTTGTCATTTTCTGGATCCATTTCAAAGGGAAAGTCAGTGAGAGTTGCCAGGAAAGGAAGAGCCAGATGACCCTGAAGCTTTTGGTCTTAGCAGCTGACCTTGAGATGGAGCTCAGGAGGGGTAGGTTGGTGGGGCGTTAGAGTTCACTCACAGGCAAACTAGGCTTGGGGCCACCAGCCTGCATGTGCGCATCTCAAAGAGGCAAAGGGATAGATGAGTTCAGCAAAGTGGCTGGGGTCAGGATGTACTTTTGGGGATGACCGCCCTCATGTGGTTCTTCAGGCTGTGAGACTGACTGAGGTCACCTGGGCAGTGAGGTAGGACTTGCCCTGGCTACACATGGAGAAATGAGGAGAACTAGCAAAGGAGACAGCGGTGGGGCAGGCAGAGGAGGATGGGGGTGTGGAGAGAAGGCCTTCTGACACAGCTGCTAGGAGCCCTGGCCGGCTGGACTGCTCCTGCCATTCTGCTGAACGTGAGCCTTGCATCCTGCCCCAGCAGCTGACGGGAACTTCTGAAAATGTCATAGAATCATGGACTCCCTGGCTCAGCATCCTCCGATGACTCCCATCTAGTTAGGACTAGGTTCCCTGTTCTCTGCGTGTGTCTTCACAGGCTGCCGTCTGCTTTCTGCCACAGCTCGCTTCAGTGTGTGGGGCCAGCTCTCTCCTAGCTTAGTTCTCCACTCATGTCACTGCCTATAAAGAAAGCAGAAACCTTCCCAGTGTGTTTTGCACTGGGGCCCACTTCTTTTTTTTAATTTTATTTTTTATTTTTTATTTTGATATCGTTAAGTACAATTACTTTAACAACATTATAGTTACTAGATTCCCCCTATTATCAAGTCCTCCCCGCATACTGCATTAGTCACTGTCCATCAGCATAGTAGGATGCCATAGAATCACTACTTGTCTTCTCTGTGTTGTACAGCCCTCCCTGTGCCCCTGCAACCCTGCTACATTATGTCTGCTAATTGTAATGCCCCGTTTCCCCCCTTATCCCTCCCTTCCCACCCACCTTCCCCAGTCCTTTTCTCTTTGGTAACTGTTAGTCCATTCTTGGGTTCTGTGAGTCTGCTGCTGTTTTGTTCCTTCAGTTTTTGCTTTGTTCTTATACTCCACAGATGAGTGAAATCACTTGGTACTTATCTTTCTCTGCCTGGCTTATTTCACTGAGCATAATACCCTCAAGCTCCATCCATGTTGTTGCAAATGGTAGGATTTGGTTTCTTCTTATGGCTGAGTAATATTCCATTGTGTATATGTACCACATCTTCCTTATCCATTCATCTACTGATGGACACTTAGGTTGCTTCCATTTCTTGGCTATTGTAAATAGTGCTGCGATAAACATAGGGGTGCATCTGTCTTTTTCAAACTGGGCTGCTGCATTCTTAGGGTAAATTCCTAGAAATGGAATTCCCGGGTCAAATGGTATTTCTATTTTAGGTTTTTTTGAGGAACCTCCATGCTGCTTTCCACAATGGTTAAACTATTTTACATTCTCACCAGCAGTGTAGGAGGGTTCCCCTTTCTCCATATCCTTGCCAACATTTGTTGTTGTTTGTCTTTTGGATATTGGCCATCCTTGGTGTGAAGTGATATCTCATTGTGGTTTTAATTTGCATTTCTCTGATGATTAGCAATGTGGAGCATCTTTTCATGTGCCTGTTGGCCATCTGAATTTTTTCTTTGGAGAAGTGTCTGTTCAGCTCCTCTCCCCATTTTTTAATTGGATTATTTGCTTTTTGTTTGTTGAGGTGCATGAGCTCTTTATATAATTTGGATGTCAACCCCTTATCAGATATGTCATTTATGAATATATTCTCCCATACTGTAGGGTGTCTTTTTGTTCTACTGATGGTATCCTTTGCTGTACAGAAGCATTTTAGTTTGATGTAGTCCCACTTGTTCATTTTTGCTTTTGTTTCCCTTGCCTGGGGAGATATGTTCGTGAAGAAGTTGCTCATGTTTATATCCAAGAGATTTTTGCCTATTTTTTTTCTAAGAGTTTTATGGTTTCGTGGCTTGCATTCAGATCTTTGATCCATTTTGAGTTTCCTTTTGTGTACGGGGTTAGACAGTGATCCAGTTTCATTCTCTTACATGTAGCTGTCCAGTTTTGCCAACACCAGCTGTTGAAGAGGCTGTCATTTCCCCGTTGTATATCCATGGCTCCTTTATCATATATTAATTGACCATATATGGTTTGGGTTAATGTCTGGAGTCTCTATTCTGTTCCACTGGTCTGTGGGTCTGTTCTTGTGCCAGTACCAAATTGTCTTGATTACTGTGGCTTTGTAGTAGAGCTTGAAGTCAGGGAGCGTAATTCCCCCTGCTTTATTCTTTCTTCTCAGGATTGCTTTGGCTGTTCAGGGTCTTTTGTGGTTCCATATGAATTTTAGAACTATTTGCTCTAGTTCACTGAAGAATGCTGTAGGTAATTTGATAGGGATTGCATTGAATCTGTAGATTGCTTTAGGCAGGATGGCCATTTTGACAATATTAATTCTTCCTAGCCAAGAGCATGGGATGAGTTTCCATTTATTAGTGTCCTCTTTAATTTATCTTAAGAGTGTCCCGCAGTTTTCAGGGTATAGGTCTTTGACATCCTTGGTTCGGTTTATTCCTAGGTATTTTAGGGGCCCACTTCTTTTATTATTGGTATGAGCTGTTGTTTCAGAACTCCAGGTGATTTCAAAATGGGATGGCCCCCAGTGGGGTTCGCATGTGGAATTTGTCCATTTGTACACCGAGCCAGAGTGTGTCCTTGTAGCCTTGCAGAGCCAGAGCTGACCTCCGCCGTCCACCTGCAGAGCTGCTGCGGTGCTCAGTGAGGTGTGTGCCATGGGGTTTAAAACTAAACTGTAGTGGGAACATTAGTGGCTGCCGTTAGAAATAAGAAACCAAGTGTGAAGTGCTGAGAAGACCACAGGGAGCCCAGGAGGACCTGCGGACCTCACAGCTGCATGACTTGGCTCAAAAACTAACGTCCATGGAGAGAGAGCGAGGCACCGCAGCGGGGTAGAGGGTGCTGCTAGATATGCACTTGCAGGGCCTCCTCTGCGCTTGGGCAGCATGTCGGCACAGGGAGTGGCTCTGCCGGGGTCCTTGCGCTCAGCTTGGCTGCATGCTTCAGTACGAGGCTCCCAGACTGCCTCCCTCCACTAGCACCTGTGGATGTGCCACGCCTCTCTGAGCTCTTGCAGACGTGGGGATGGTTGCAGACAGCCTGTGTGCACAGGGGAGGTCTCTGCACAGAGTGCATTAGTGGTCTGGGGTTCTTGTAAAGGAGTCTGCCGAACTCTGTTTAACTTAGTCTTTCATGATATATTTGACTACAGTGCCCCCTCACCCACACCCTGCTTTTAGGAGACAGTGATTGACATCTTGCAGAGCAAGCATGAGGGACACATTTGGGAGAGCATTGCAGCCATCTGTAGAGGGGGCATCCCCAGCTGTACACATGTGGCTGCTGTATTTGGGAGGCAAGATAGACAGACACTGTGGATCAGAGAGGGTTCACAATTGGGTTCTGCCACTTATAATCTTGGGCACATTGCTTACTTTTTTTTTTTTTGAGAGGACATCTCTCATATTTATTGATCAAATGGTTGTTAACAACAATAAAATTCTGTATAGGGGACTCAATGCACAATGATTAATCCACCGCAAGTCTAATTCTCGTCAGTCTCCAATCTTCTGAAGCATAATGAACAAGTTCTTACATGGTGAACAAATTCTTACATAGTGAGTAAGTTCTTACATGGTGAACAGTGCAAGGGCAGTCATCACAGAAACTTTCGGTTTTGATCACGCGTTATGAACTATAAACAATCAGGTCAAATATGAATATTTATTTGATTTTTATACTTGATTTATATGTGAATCCCACATTTCTCCATCATTATTATTATTATTATCATTATTTTTAATAAAATGCTGAGGTGCACATTGCTTACTTTTTCTTTGCCTCCCTTTCCTCATTTGTAATGTAGGGACAGAAGTCTTGATTTGATAGAATTGTGGTGACACCTAAGTAACATGGCTCATGTAGCGTTCAATGCTGTGCTGTCCAGGGATGGATTAAAGCTTGTTGCCGTTCCGTCATTGTCAGCACAGCAGCAGGCCTGGCGCTCTTCTGTAATGTCCATGGTGTTTGGCATTGTTGTCTCCTCTGATTTGATGTTGGAAGAGGATCTTCCCCAGGGCTGATGCTGAGTGCGCTGCACCCGCCCTGAGATGGGACCAGGTATTGTGCAGTCCTAGCTTGATGGCGGCTCAGTTTCCCTTCAGCTCTGCTGGCCCCTTCAGGGGCTGCTCTGCATCAGGAGAGGTGCTCCTCAACGTGAATATACCAAGTGATGTGCATCACCCATGTCCCCGGGTGGTGTGAGCAGCTGGCTTGCTTCTGCGAGCAGAGAAGATGGTGGGGTTGTGGAGCAGCCAGGTCCTTGTGTGCTGCTAGGTGCCCATCATTATTGCTGGCACCTCTGCCTTCTCTGAGCAGCGTGAACATGCATGTTATGCTCACACAGTCGTCTTCTCCTCGGCTCAGATGACATCCCTGAAGAGCTCAGAGACCCTTTTTACATCGACCAGTATGAGCAGGAGCACATCAAACCGCCTGTCATCAGGCTTCTGCTGTCCAGCGAGCTATACTGCCGTGTCTGCAGCCTCATCCTGAAAGGGGACCAGGTGGCCACCTTACAGGGACACCAGTCTGTCATCCAGGCCCTGTCCCGGAAAGGCATTTATGTGATGGAGAGTGATGACACCCCTGTGACGGACCCTGACCTCGGCCACACGCCCATAAAGATGGTGAGTGGCCTGTGTGCTTGCCAGGGCCTGGGGGTGAGAGCCTCTGGTGTGATGGATACTTGTGTCCCTCTGTAGCTCGGCTGCACGGAGGAGGCAAAGGTGGCCCTGAAACTTCAGGTGCAGGATGGTGTGAGCATGAGTGTCCAGCAGGACGGCTGAGGTGTGAGTGTGTGGTGGCGACCTGACTTGGGCATCTCTCTAAGTGAGGATGACAGTTCTGGAAAATGGGGGCGAGTAGCTTCCTTGCAGCCCTTTCTCATTGTGAGCCGGGGCCCTGTGTGTATGTGAGCTGGGGCCCTGTGTGTGAGCTGGGGCCCTGTGTGAGAGCTGGGGCTCTGTGTTGAGTGTATGTGTGAGCCAGGGCCCCGTGTGTGCACTGGAACCCCATGTGTGTGTGAGTTGGGGGCCCCATGCGTGTGAGCCAGGGCCCTGTGTGTGAGAGCTGGGGCCCTGTGTGTATGTGAGCCGGGGCCCCATGTGTGTGTGAGGCAGGGCCCTGTGTGTGTGTGTGTGAGCTGGGCCCTGATGTGTGAGCCGGGGCCCTGTGTGTGTGTGAGCTGGGGCCCCATGTGCGTGTGAGCGAGGGCCCTGTGTGTGTGTGTGAGCTGGGGCCCCATGTGTGAGCCAGTGCCCCGTGTGTGTGTGTGTGAGCTAGGGCCCCATGTGTGAGCCAGGGCCCTGTGTGTGTGTGTGAGCCAGGGCCCCATGTGTGAGCCAGGGCCCCATGTGTGTGAGCTGGGGCCATGTGCATGTGTGAGGTAGGCTGAGTCCAGGCTCCTTAATAGCCTCTGGAGGCAATCTTAGCCTGTTCTGTTAGACTGTTTCATGCTGTAAGTATTTTTTGTTCAAAACAAATGAATATACCTTTTTTCCTAAGTGCCCCTTCCCACCTTTCTCTGAAAGCCACATCCCTAATGGGACTTGTCCAGAGCATTCTAGGTCTAAGCTAGTCCCAGTGCCTCCTGCATGCCCCTGCTATGTCGTTGCTGGCGCTTTCACCTATGTGGTTTTCATTCCTGTCTTTGTGGAACATGTGTTGTGGGCCAAGAAAATGCTGCTCAGGTTCTAGGAAGAAAAGGTGTGAAGACATGGTTTTAGTGCACAGAGCTCATGACTGGTAGTGTGGGCCTGTCGGTGGTTGTGGGGGCTTGGGCACACCTCTCTGCCCCTTGTACTGTTTCCCTCAGCCATGAAGTGGGGTTATCACCTTCCCCCGACTCTCCCCAGGTTGCCATGGAGATGAGGGAGGAGGCATGAAGCCCTTCACACTGCAGAGAGCTGAGCCTGCCTGACTGCAAGCAAGGCTAACTTGCAGATAAAGGCTTCAGTGTCTCCTCCTGTGGAGAGGGGAAGAAAATAGAGGGATATGGGCAGAGCTTTGTGTCTGAGCGGGGTCTGGGTATGAAGCTGGTAGGAGAGGCAGGCCTGGGTGACACTGACTGCTGCCTCTGCCCCCAGAGTGCCCACATGGCGATGGTGGACGCCCTCATGATGGCCTACACTGTGGAGATGATCAGCATTGAGAAGGTGGTGGCCAGTGTCAAGCGCTTCTCAACGTTCAGTGCCTCCAAAGAGCTTCCGTACGATCTTGAGGATGCCATGGTGTTCTGGGTCAACAAGGTGAGTGCAGGGGCCGTGCCCAGAAGGAGAACAAGCCCCCGAGGCTCAGCCCCTCACTGGGCAGCCTGAGTGGGCCGGGGAGCTCCTTGGGTGGCCGGTCCTCTCTTCTCTGGAACAGTACCTCATGTGTCACGCTGAGACCCAGGCCCAGCAGGGGCTGCAGAAGTGTGAATGTGCTGTGTCCACAAGTGTGCCTGTGGCAGTTACAGCAGAATGAAGCAAGCAGGTGTTCCTCCTGAACGTGAGAAGCAAGGCGCGGAGGAGCACGAGGTCCTTTGTATCTGGAAACGCAGTGCATGTTCATGGTGGAGATGGATGAGTTATTTTCATTTTTATCTTAGGCACTTAACATACATTAAAGGAATTTTCAATTTAGAAGGCATTTTTAAAGACAAAAATGAGATCTTTTTAAATGCTATTTCTCTCCTTGTACATTTGGAAGCTAATAGGGTAGTTTTTTTTTTTTTTTGTGAGCTCAATTACTTTATTAAAGATTTTTTTTTTGAATGGGTGAATGAAGGACAGCACAGACATCAAAGAGTGACAATTCTTTGGGGAATCTAGTATATTCTCTGGCTTTTTGCTGGTTCCTCTTCAATTTATTTTTTTGTTATTCAAATGTGTTTTTTTTTTTCCAGAGGGCATCTTTCATATTTATTGATCAAATGGTTAACAACAATAAAATTCTGTATAGGGAACTCAATGCACAGTCATTAATCAACCCCAAGCCTATTTCTCAACAGTCTCCAATCTTCTGAAGCATAACGAACAAGTTCTTACATGGTGAACAGTGCAAGGGCAGTCATATTACAGAAACTTTTGGTTTTGATCATGCATCATGAGCTATAAACAATCAAGTCAGATATGATTATTCATTTGATTTGTATACTTGATTTATATGTGAATCCCACAACAGGGTAGTCTTTTACACAGTGTTTATAAAGAATGTTTATACATACTTCAGGTGAAGGGCGTTAAGAAGTATGAACCTCCAGTTAAAAAAAAAACAAGTCACTGCGGATGTAAAGTACAGCACAGGGAATGTAGTCAATAGTATTGTAGTAACTTTTTATGATGACAGATGGGAGCTAGACTCATTGTGGTGAGCATATTGTAATTATAAAATGCCGAATCACTAAGTTATATACCTGAAATTAATATAATATTGTATCTCAGTTATACTTCAATTAAACAAGAAATGCTTGGGCTGTACAATGAAAAAAAAGTTTATTTTAGTAGCATGTGATAATTTACAGGATTACCTTACCAAAGCCTCTTGCTGAGTAAGCCTCCTTATGTGCACAAAAGTGTTTAATTTGGGTGACTACTCATAATATGGGTGACTGTACTCATAAAAGCAAAGCACATAGGATATTGAGCAGGCCCTTGTGAGGTCGTATTAGTGGACCAGACATTTTAAGTGATTTCATTTTACAATTTTTTTTTTTTAATGTTTGGGTTTTTATTGTCACTTTTTTTTTTTTGAGAGGGCATCTTTCATATTTATTGATCAAATGGTTGTTAACAACAATAAAATTCTGTATAGGGGGGTCAATGCTCAATGCACAGTCATTAATCCATCTCAAGCCTAATTCTTATCAGTCTCCAATCTTCAGAAGCATAACGAACAAGTTCTTACATGGTGAACAAATTCTTACATAGTGAATAAGTTCTTACATGGTGAACAGTACAAGGGCAGTCGTCACAGAAACTTTCGGTTTTGATTACTCATTATGAACTATAAACAATCAGGTCAAATATGAATATTCGTTTGATTTTTATACTTGATTT